GTTCTGACTCACAGTCTGTAAGTACGTTTTCATTTAAAGGATTTGCCACTGATGATTCAAACGCGAGTTTTGTATGGTGAGGGGCATAACATTTCCATCACACGCTTGAGGTATTCGGCCAATCACAACGCATTGGATAGCTGGCCAATCACAGCACACCTCGCTTTTTCAGACCGATGAGCTTTGTAAAAATCGACGCGTTTCAGAAAGCGTTCTCGGCATAGAGGAGAAACAATAATGTACAGTATGTGGAAAATAATGTGTTTTTTTAACTTTAAACCACATAAACACATTTCATTACACCAAATACACAAAATAATGTTCTTGTTAGCAGCATCATATGACCCCTTTACTATAGAAGGATACAAAGATCATTTGTCACATACACATACACACATATACTTTTACTACTTAATACTACAATTAAGTAATAGTACTTAAGTAATAGCGTGCCTGTGTGTAGTTCAAAACACATACTAAGCACGCTGAACTGTTGTTTATGCACAAGCACACAAACGACACACACATTCTTAAAGTTATGAACGTTTAAAGCCTTAGTAAAGTAAATTTAGTAAAATTTTTTTTTTTTTTACACTCAGACACAACAAACAACTACTTCTTTGTAGCCAAGAAGCAGCCAGATGCTTCTCCCTTTGTGCTATATTTCCTGTTGGCAATTTGAAATGCTCTTTTCATACACTACACTTTGCCCACCCTGTTTTATGTAGGTCCACCCACTTAAACATTTCTGGCCTTGCCCCTGGTCCAAACAGCTGATAAAAAACAACACAATAATCCACACCACTCCAGTCCATCAAATGTTCATTTTTGGATGAATCCATTAAGGAACACTGTGAAGTATATTTAGATATGAAGTTATTTCCATCAATATATGCAACATATATTTGTAAGTCATTTTGGTAAGACTACATCTGCCAGCGGCATAAATGCAATGTAATTAGGCAGTCAGTTGTCAGCCGCGCAAATGTCTATTTATCACTACACTCATTATCATTTGGGTATGAGTCTTAATGTGAAGTTTTAATTTGCTAAATCACATGGATCTCTTAGAAGCAGCTGTGCACTCGCTGTCATTTAACGCTGTAATGAATGATTAAATTATTATGCAAACCAAAAATATAATTATTTTCGATTTTTGCAACAGTGATGTATTTTGACATCTGTTGGACATCTGTCCACTGCAATAATAAATAGTAGTTTCATTAACCATCATTAACAAATTAATGTTTGATTCGTTAACATGATAATGCATTAGGTATCATGAACTAACAATGAACATTTCTGTTTAAATTTTATTTATAAATTTTTTTTTTTACAGCATTTATTAATCTACCTCTGAGTTTGTGAACTGCTGGTAGCTTGTGAGTCGAAGAACTGTAAATTAATGAAGAACTGTTAACATGCAAAGAAGAAATGATCAAAATGAATTTATTAAATTTATTTAACAAATAAAACTTAAAATTTCACAGCATGCTTCAAGTAAATAATTTTGGTCAAATGTTTGGAAAATCGCAGACAAAAATCCCGGATTGAGGTTAATGTTAATTTCTACATAGTTTTACATTAATTAATTAATAAATAAATAAGCAAACTAATTAATTAATAAATAAATTAATTTTTATATTTAATATTAAAGTTAAAGTGCAATTTAACCATTTACTATGAATAAACATTAACAATGAACAACAGGATATTTATAAATTATTTAAGGTAGATAAGTTAATGCATTAACAGTGTTTATAGCATTTATTAATGTTAACAAATTGAATCATGATGTAATGGGGTACCTGATTTTTTTCACCCATTTCACTGCCTTTGTGCCAGTGTATACCACTGTGTATGTGTAACGTTTCACGGCAATGCACGTCATGTACTATACCAGACTTCAACACTTTTAAAATATATCTGGAGAAATTTAGTCAAATGAAGTTGAAACACTGGCACATTCTCTCAGTTACTGTGGGAAGGAAACTTGCATGGTGCTGCAGATCAGTCTATGTGATGCAAGTGGCTGTCGGGCTGCTATGTGTGGTTGTCAGGGAGCGGCAGTGAATCATCAGGCATGTGTGTGTGGTCAGGTAGGTGTGTATTGCATATGGCAGCTCTGGCTTCTCCAGCCAGTCATGACAGAGCAAAGGGAAAGATGTGACACAGCCATCTGCCTTCAGTCTACACCCCATCCCACCCCACCCACCCCGTCTGGAGCCGCACACATTCACATATTTAAAGGGGCCACGTTGTACACCTTACTACATCTACTTAAAATATACAGTGGGTACGGAAAGTATTCAGACCCCCTTCAATTTTTCACTCTTTGTTAGCAGCCATTTATTTGCTAAAATCATTTAAG